AATTATGGTCTAAAGTACTAAAATTTGGTCCAATTTGACATAATTTCATTCCTAAATCGCTCAATTTATCGATTAAGCCATCCTTGAAGTGACATATGTGGAAACATATGCACGTTCTGTTGGAAAAATTGCAGCAGACATGTCATATGTGGCAACATATGTATATCCTAAAATGGTCTTTTGGGGGTTAATTCAAATTAAATTGTCACCTAATTCAACATGTAACACTAATATATAGTCCTACAACATGTCTAAGTACAAAATTATGGTCTAATACAACAACCTTCATTAAATCTATCAATTATTTTTACAAAGACTATTATACCACTAGTTCATCATACAATGACCAAGTAACTCTATATGATAGTTATATAACACCCTTGTAAATCATTGTTCCAAGTGTTATAACATATTTTATTGCTTAATTATGGTGCAAAGTACTAAAATTTGGTCCTATTTGACATTTTTCCATTCCTAAATCGCTTGATTTATCGATTAAGCCATCCTTGAAGTGACATATGTGGAAACATATGCACGTTCTGTTGGAAAAATTGCAACAAACATGTCATATGTTGCAACATATGTATATCCTAAAATGTGCTTTTTGGGGTTAATTCATTGTCACCTAAATCAACATGTAATACTAATATATAGTCCTACAACATGTCTAAGTACAAAATTATGATCTAATACAACAACCTTCATCAATTCTATCAATTATTTTTACAAAGATTATCATATCATTAGTTCATCAATGAGCAAGTAACTCCATATGATCGTTATATAACACCCTTGTAAATCGTTGTTCCAAGTGTTATAGCATACTTTTATTGCTTATTATGGTCCAATGTACTAAAATTTGGTCCAATTTGACATTTTTCCATTCCTAAATTGCTCAATTTATCGATTAACCCATCTTTGAAGCGTCATTTGTGGCAACATATGCATGTTCTGTTGGAAAAATTGCAACATACATGTCATATGTGGCAATATATGTATGTCCTAAAATGTGTTTTTTGGGGTTAAGCTTTTTGAAATTAGATAATATTTCAAAAGGAATAACAACCCAACAATCCTACAAACAAATAAGTGAAAAAATCACTAAAAACGTCTTGATTTAATACCAGTAAGTATTTCAAAACCCTAATTAAATTTTACTTGAGAAGATATCAACGATAAACTAGAAATGATGAGGGCAACGACGCCTTGTTGTAGAAGAGGATCGCAATAGATTACCACTGATGTTGTAGAAAATATCGCAACAATTTGATCTGTGAAGGAATAATGGAACAAGAAAAAGGAAAGAAGAGAAAAGAAAATGGAAATTAGTAAAAATAAATTAAATTTGAAATATGAAACGAAGACCTTTTATAGAGGAGAGGAGAGAGATGAGAGACGAGAGATGGATAAATGAAGGGACGATTGTTTTAAACCTTTTTGATTGTTTTTTTTTTAGAATTTTGACAATTCAAAGTGTGACATATGTTTCCACGTATATCCTTTCTGTTGGGGTACATACAAATAATTATGTGGTATTTTTTATAACAAAGGTTATATATGTTGCGACAGACACCACATTTCTTCCTTTCCATCATAATTGACATTTGTTCCAACAAAATAAAAAAATAAATAATCATTAATATTAATATTATCATAAAAAATGAACAATTGGTGACAATCTAATGTTACCACATATCTTCTTTCTGTGACATATGTTGCCACATATATCTTTTCTGTTGGGGTACATGTAGATAATTCTTTGATGTTTTTTACAACAGAGGTTATATATGTTGCCACAAACACCACATTTCTTCCTTTCCATCATAATTGACATTTGTTCCAATAAAAAAAATAAAAAATAGTCATTAATATTAATATTATCAGCAAAAATGAACAATTGGTGACAATATAATGTTGCCACATAATCTCCTTTCTGTGACATATGTTACCACATATCTTCTTTTTGTGACATGTTGCCACATATATCCTTTCTGTTGGGGCACATGCAAATAATTTTGTGGTGTTTTTTATAACAGAGGTTATATATGTTGCCACAGACACCACATTTCTTCCTTTCCATCATAATTGACATTTGTTCCAACAAAATAAAAATACTAATAATTATTAATATTAATATTATCAGCCAAAATGAACACTTCACCAATTGTTTTATATAACTTATCAACAAAAAGATAATTCACAATGGTATACATAACCATCAATCTAATAAATTGTGGTAACCATAACATTTTCATCGAACTTTGCTTTTTAGGTCTAGGCCTCTGTGGGTCTTCATTGTTACTAACATAGCCACTCCGAGCCTTTAAATCCCATAGTTTCATAGTAGTGGAGCATATCTCATGCGGAGGGATTCAAAACTAATTCCATAAGATGGTACTTGTAGTCCATCACTCAAAAACTCAGTGTATGCAGCAACAAAAAGTCCACAATTTCTACATGGTATATCATCAATTAGAAAATATAATAACATCATATTTCAGTAGTGGTAAGACAAAACAATTAATGTGATACTTACAGACTATTGCTTGTTTGTGGACAATACCAGTAATATGTTTGACTTCGAATGGGTGAGATTTGTTCTTTTCTTGGTAAGATTCAAGAACTGACCAGTTGGTTAGGTCTTCTTGATAAAAAAAAAAATCAAGGTATTTGGCAACAATGTAGACAACTTTTGAATCTCAGAGCACAATTTTCTCTTAGTCCTAGATAAGGTGCCAAGGCAGTCCACTAGGTATACCAAATCTTTTGATAGTGTCAACAATTTTATTCTCATATTCAAAAAATAACGCTGACATTATCAATGTATGTTTTGAAAAAAAAATTAGTAGTGGTATATCGATATTTAGAATGACTCTGTTGCTTCGACGTCTTCTGCAAATAGTATAAAATGACATCCACATGTTGCACAGTTGCATCAACAAGTGCATTTTTATATCAATTTATTTGAATGTAATCATGTCTTAATCAAAAGATAAAAGTGGGCATGGATTTACCTGATCAGTCTAGTACTTATTGGGTTGAGATATTATGTAAAACCAATCCTTCTTCTTTGAAAATGCAACTACAAAATCAAGTTGTTTGAACTCAAGATCCGATCAATTTGCTATGTAATGATCGTCCTTTTCTCTTCTGCAATTGTGTAATCATTATAAATAATTATTTAGTAGACAACAAGAAGAAATACTAATAATAGTTGAACGACTTTACTTTTTTGCATGATGCTTGTAAAAACCCTTGTTTATCCATTGCGAGAAGGATGATATTAGTTCAGTTGGACCCTCGCCGTCAATGTTAAAACCTTGAAATGGATATTGTTGCTTCACATCACAACTGACTACTTTGACTTTCTTCTCTTTCTTTTTCACTTTCTCCTTCTCCTTCTCTTGCTCCTTCTCTTGCTCCTTCTCCTTCTCTTTCTCCTCCTCCTCCATCTCCTTCTCCTTGCCTTTTGGGTTTGAGTGTGATACTGGAGCAGTAGTCATTGATTTTTCTTTCACTAATTATAGATAGTGATTGGGAAATAGATTTTTTCAACCTCCTACACTTCAAAGATTGTGAAATCTTCTTGGATGTATGGAAATCAATATTATAAGTCATTTCCTTAAAAATATCAGTGAGTTCTTTAACACGACTAATAAAATAATCATGTTGCTACTAGAAATCTTCTTGGATGTATAGACATCAATATTATAGGTCATTTTCTTAAAAATATCAGTGAGTTCTTTAACACGACTAATAAAATAATCATGTTGCTACTCACATTCTTTGCATAGACAAAAAGAGCATTTGATGTTA